GGCCCAGGTCTTCAAAGTTCAAGTCTCCCGAGCCCAATGTCTCCACTGCCAACTGCTTGCGTGGGGCTTCGGGTTCAGGAGCTTCCTCCTCCTCCTCTTCTTTGATGGGCTCTTCGGCAGGTTTCTGCTTAGTAGTAGCATCGGAGGCATTGGTACCGGCACGACTCCGACCCTGGGCCGTCAGGTTCGTTATAGTGGACGCGGCATTCTGTGCCGCGGAGACCCAGGATGAGAATATACCTCCCGACGGTGTTCTCTTCTCTTCCGATATAGACAACACCGGGGCAGTGACTGAAGTGGAGAGCTTGCTGGGTTGATGTGTGATTGAAGAGGCCGAACGGATCCTCCGGTGCGATATCATGTTTCCAGAAGGACTCACCACAATATTTGAGGCACCTGGTGTGATCTTGGGCTCTGGCTTGTCCGTACTTGGGGGTGCAGTCGATGCGTCGAAACGATGGTCAGTCGGTGTAGGAGGAGTAACGGTGGTGAGCGGTGTGCCTATGAGAGCGTCGGGCGGTGTCAATGGCCGGAGAGTACTTTCGAGATTTGGCATTGAATTGGTATGGGGAATATTGGGGATTGGAGGAACCACTGTCGTAACCTCAGATGGTTTTTGCTCTTCTACAATCTTCGCATCTGTCGTGAGGTTTTCGTTGCCAGCGGTACTGGCAATTGGCTCGATCTCCTTCCGTTCGGGGCTGGCTCTCGGGCTCTTACTTGGCTTGCCAAAGACATCTCTAAACCTCCTTCCCGGTGATTTGCCTCGGAGTCTGCCTAGACTGTCACGAGGAGAGTCTGGTTTCAGGGTATCCGCTCGGTCAATCAATCCAGTGGAAGAGGAAACGAGTGAGGTAGACTCAGGTAAAGGTGTAGTCTTGGGTGAAGGGGAGTTGTCATCTCCATCAGGCTCAATGAGGGTAGGGATGCTGCTCATCGACAAATCTTTCGTAGGACTCTGTATCAATTCACCGTCGCTGCGGGTAGTCGTTGTAGATATCAAAGGTGACGACATGGACGCGAAGCCAGTGTGAGAGTCGCGGGTAACCAGAGGAGGCGTTTCGACCTCGGAATCATCTGTAAGGAGACTGCCATCGCCATCGCCACCTTGACTGCTCCCCCTCCGGCTCAACTGTGCTGGAACAGATTTTACACTCAACCCAGTACCCGTTCTTCCTCTTGCCAAATCTTCAACTGCAGCCTTGAGTTCCAGTTCGCGTTGTTTCCTCCTCTGTCGCTTGCTGTGGCCAGGCAGCAATTTACGGACTCCACTACCGCCAGATTTGCTGCTCCCATCCTGACTGATAGAGCGAGCGCTTTGTCTCGTGGGCGATTTGTCGAGGGTAACAGAATCAAGGGAGTCGGTACGCAAATCTTTTATGGTCTCGTCGCCGAGCAGTTCAGACGAACGGCGCCTGTTGGAGAGAACTTTCTTTAGACCCTTCAGCTGGGGAGAGGGTTCGGGCATCGTAGGGGCGACATGGGGAGAGGATTGGGCAGACACTGCGGCCATTCAAGGCAAGTCCAGGGCTGAGTTGAATGCGATTGTCAGGCTGCGACGTGTGGCCAATGTTTAAGAGCAATGGAAGACTAATCCGCGTGATGTCACACGGACAATGGTAGCGAACGGCATGTGGATCCTGTCACAAAAGGAGGGGAAATACCCAGCTGTTATAATATAAAAGATGGCTAAGAAATATCTTGAGAGACGGAGGAAGAGGTGCAGGCGACCATAAAGGAGAGGTAGAGGAGGTGTGAGTCGGGGTGGAAGCGGTCACCGTTAGTCGTTTAGTCGCGAATCGAGATGGATGGAGTTTTGGTTGTTGTGAGTTCAGGCTGCCACCTGAGGGCTTCGGTACGGGGGCGGGCCAGGGTGATTAGCTGGCCTCGGAGTGGTGGTTGACGAGCTTGGGGGGTTATTCGAGCCCCGTAGGTTATGTTCGAATGGCTTGCGTAAATCGGAAAGGCACCCACGAATGCGGCAGGCGATGGGCAAACAGTAATTAGCCAGGCGTGCCAGGCTGCCAGGCTGCAAGGGTGCAGGCATACGAGTACGACGTATAGGCACCAAGTATTTACTCCGCGTATTTGTGCGGCATTCTTACGCGTTCCACTCGAGGACGCCGAGGTGCATCAGCTCAGGCTAGCTAGCGTCACCCAAGTGACCTCAGCACCTAAGCTGCCCGCAGCGCTCCTGGGTGGCTCGGGGACATGAATGTGCCGCACCCAGCAATCCAAGGCCGCAACAAGCACCTGCTTTCGGATGGTGCCACCAGTGCGGCCGCGCTTCGGCTCCCGTGTTAGGGGCTAGTGGTCTCAAAGCTGGAGGATGGGTGCACCCAGGAGGTTAGGCGCAGATGGGGGGAGCCTCAAGTCCCCACCAAGATCTCCTCCCAGCCCGCGTCACTGCAGCCTTGTGACTTTTGATTTGCGCCATAAGTTGTTTCCCACCTGCGAAAGACCCTCGAGTCAAGAGAATGCCGCTTGCGCCTCACCGTCCTATAGTTTGTCGATGCACTGCAGATAGCAGCCCGACAACCTTTGCACACTTGTCGGCTATTGAACTAAGAATAGATGGAGACTGCACCACTGACTCTCGTAAGCACCATGTCGGAGATTGAGGATTCCAACGACGCACATACTAATCTTCTCCTACCCAGGCTCACACCCATGCCCGAAATGCTGCGCTCGAGTCGCGCCGTCACAATCCTGTTGCCGCCAGCGAGGAACATGATCTGGCCGCGGCCGAGTTCGCAGCTGCGGCCCAAGAGACTTCCGACTCTGAAGCGCTGCGCGTGTTGAATCTCTTGGAACAACATCACAAGAAGCTGGGTCAACTGCTGAGGGCGGCTCACGAGAGACCGCCAGTAAAAGAGGTGCCCAACCAGCCATCAGCTGGCGATGGCGAAAATGCGCAGTCCGTGCCAGAGCGACAGAAGCAAGAATCCGATGGACCTGCTTCGCCCGGTGCCACGGTCCAACCCCCCAGGCTCCCCAGAGCCTTGAGGTCAAGCACTCGCGAATTGTCTTCCTCGATTGCAAGCAACCTGGCGTCTGCGAGAGGGATACCCAACAGCCGACAAAAGCGTCCTACTCCAATCTCGCCGCTTGTCTCGAATCAACATGCCGATGGACATAATGCTCAAGATGAACGCAGGAACAAGCCCGGACCCAGACCAAATACAGATTCCCCAGACGCTCTCTTGTCCATGTCCCGCCAAACAGATTCACGTCCATCATGGGCACCTCCGGTGGCAGCCTCTCCGACAAAGGCAGATGCCGCAGAACAGCCAGAGGCCCAGAGCTCGGATGCCCCGTTTCAGCAATTCTACACAACTTTTGAGAGTCTTATGTCAAAACTCAGTGCGCCGCTGGCATTTGCAGGCTTGCCTCTAACAACCACTACACCATCCAAGTCACCATCTACTCCCTCTCAAATACCCCCCAAAATCCCGAAAACTGTGTCCCGCCCATCACCTGCAGCACCGTCCGTCGACTACTCCCAGCTCATTTCACGTGCTGCCCTACGCGCTGTTTCTGGCACCGGCAATAGCACGTCGAACCCATCCGAGTCATTCTACGTTGTCCCCACCACCGGTGGCACAATCTCGTACGCTGAAATCATGTCCCGGGCCGAGCGTGAAGAGGCCCGTGCTGGTCTTCGTGGACATGGCCACCACCGCCAGCCTTCTGCACTCTCAAATATCTCCGAAGACGATTTCGTCGACGCACAAAGTACGATACTTCCGGCTCCGGCCAACGGGCCACCCAGCCGCTTTACCAGAGCCCGTGGGGTTACTGATGAGATCAAAGTGAACGGCAAGACGATGGAAGAACTCGCGTTGGAGAATCAAGCACTCAAGCACCTCTCCGACACGCTTTCCAAGAGACTACACGTTTTTGAGATGTCCGCCCAAACTTCTTCTGCGGCGCTAGCGCAGAGCATTCGCTCCCTACACAACCGCTCGCCTATGCTTTCTCCCGAAAACTCACGGGGCAAGACCATCAGCGGGAAGATGGGGCTAGACAGCGGCGCGATGGCTGGTATCGGCAATAGTGGCGGAGCGGGCAACCGTGACACGACCCAACGCCGAATAGCAGAATTGGAAGAGATTCTCCGCAAGAGTGATGCGCGGGCAAGAAAGCGGGAAGAGGAGAATGTCAAGTTGAAAGAGACCATCACCAAGTACAGAGAGAAATGGGATAGTCTCAAGGCGGGAGCCAAAGCGAGAAGGGCGCGTGAAAGAGCTGGCCGACCTAGCAACGGCGACAAGGCAGGTACTGGCGAGGAGACCACCACCGAAGGAGGCGAAGACGAGTCTGCCGCAGGAGGCTGATATTGTCTGGCGACAACCAGAAAGACAACGGCAGCCGCATGTCCGCGTAGTCGTGGACAAGATCGCGGACCTGAACCATGCAGAAAGAACATGGTGACGCGGACACAATACGTGGGATGAACGTGGGCAACATATGTCGTGCTTTGCCGTCCCGCCTGGCTGTCCGATGACTACCGATGTAGACAATTTTTTATGTAAGGGGATCCGATACCCGCCCTCCCCCGGCACCCCCTGATGTGATATATGCTATATATACGATATAACGAAACCCCCGGACTTAGTCCTAACTAGTGAGGCCTAACGAGTAAGAAGGGATTTACAATTGAAAAAGAGAACAAAGAAATGCCGAAAGTTTAAGGGAAACTTGATATTAATGTCCGGGAAGCTTTTTTTATCTGCGTGTCTTTTTCCGAGTCGTGCCTGACGGATAGATAGATATCTTGAGATCGATATCTACAGAGTATATAACTCTCCATATATAAATCATCAGACTTGCAGTAGCGCGGTGACCAGGTAGATAGATCTGCTGTGTATGTCCTTGAAAGGGTAGAATCTCATATTGACTCCGACATGCTCCGTACACGGCTTGGGGGGAGAATATTATATACTAGCATTACTCTACTATGACACGCCTTCAGCCTCCCTATCATGAATAGCTGGTCTTTATCTGTCTGCTGCACTGTCCCTGGTGTCATCGTCACCGCCATCACCAGCTGGTTCGGTTCGAAACATTCGGCCATCCTTTCCTTGGTCATGGCTTTCCTTCCGCTTCCGACCGGAAGTGCGACGACTCATCATCCCACTCAAGGTCTCGCTCAACGCCCGTAATCTGGTCTTCCTCTTGCCAATATCACTCTCTCCGTCGACGGCCAGATCAGGCTCGACTCCATCACCTCCATCAGGCCCTACCGGTCTGGCCTCATGCGTCTGGGCGCGGCTGAGATCTTGAGCGCTGTCGGCACTACGATTCTGCCAGTGCATGTTCAACGCTGCTAATGGGTCGAATCCGTCAGTGTCCTCGGTCACAGCAACGGTTCGTCGTCGATCGTCGATGGAGTGTCGCCCAGAACGGGATCGGCGAAGTGCAGCCCGCACGGAGTGGGGTGCTCCCTCGCCTTTCAGCAACGAATCTGCCACCAAGGCGCTGAGCGAGTTCGAGAGGGGTGGCAAGAGCGGGCCTGGGACGGGAATAAGGCGCGAGATACTTCCCCTGGAGCCACGGGCGAGGAAGCTGGGAACAGGAGAGTTGTCATCTAGGGTAGGTCTTACAGAGCGGTCTGGGCTGGGAGGTCGAGGAGAATCCGACGGTTTTGAAGGTGTTTCCGCCTCAGCAGGGGACGAGCTGGATCGTTGAAATGGTCTTGATGTGGCCGGGGTGTAAAAGGGTGTTGATTCCTCGTAGGCTCCACTAATTCGAGGTGTCAGAGGCGGCTGTGAAGCGTCGATTTGCTCAGTGGAGGAAAGCCAGGGGTTAGAAATGAAGTCTTCCGCCGGCTCTGCAGGGGTCACTGAGATTGAGGGTAGTATTGAAGATGCATCTGAGAATCGTCGCGGCGTTTGCGGCATTGTAGTTGCAGATTGAGCCTGCTCTGAACTGGAAACCACTGGATATCCGTCCGTCTGTGCACGCAGTGGCTGTGGTGCATCGCGTGTCAATGGTGTCCGCTCATCGATGTCCCCTCCTTCCTCGTCAAGAAGCTGGATCGTCTCCTCCTCGTCTCTAGATGTTTCTTCAGTTTCACCTATCTCATGCCGCTGGCTCGTGATGAGGTATACGCCAAAGAAGGTCAAGAGACATCCAATGACAAATTTGATTGCCTGCTCCGATGTCGTATGTTCAAAATCTCGGTACAGCACCGCGGAGCCGATGATGACAGAAAGAGTGAAAAGAACAAATTGAGTCGGTATAACCTGCGTCGAATCGTAGTGCTGTAAGGCTCGATTGAGATAGCGAATCTGCAGAAGCGCCGAGCCAACGAGAACAAACACGAGGAAGTAGAAAATGGCATAGGTAAACGCTTTGTAAAGGGACACAGACAAAAGTGACGAAACGCCTTTGGTGGATAGGACGGTATAGCCTCCACACAGCGCCACCAGACCAAGGTCGACAAGTATGGTCTTGCGGCCATGTCGTGGCTCTGCGTACATCAGAGCCCCGATAAGCAACAGCGTGATGATCACGTAGAGGAGGAATTCCCATCTCTTTATGGTCTTCCACAGTTCACCGGGCCCAAATTTGGCCTCACTGGTTTGGGCAGACAACACAACGGTGACAGCGCCGGCAATAGCAACCAATACTCCGTACAAATCACGTCGTCGGAACCGTTCCTTGAGCATGAGCGGGGCAATCAGACAATTCGAAATCAAGGCGACAACCCCTAGCGGACTGACAATGGACGCGGGAGCAAAGCCATAGGCAAGAAAGTTGCCCGCCTCGCCTATGATCATCATCACCAGACCAAGCCACCAGTATGGCGACTTGAGGTAGGATGCTCTCTCAGCATCGTTGGCCGAGTCTTTCTCGCGGCGATGGTCGTGTCGGGTAGGTTCCAGAGAAGGTTGTAATGTCTCCTCGGAGGAACGTTGCGCTGATCCATCCGTTGCTTCATCTATACTCCTTTTGCGACCGGATATTTCGAGATTTCTTCTCCTCCGCTCCTCTGCGATTTCTTCCTGTTCATTGGCAAAGCCCGGTCCACGCCCAGAAGCAGCGTGGCCATTCGCAAACGATTTCCTGGATTCGGAGTACTCGCGGTCTATCAGGATGTGTGCGTATCTCTGGGTGTTCAGAGCAAAGGAGATGAGGAGATTCCCGACAACCGCCGCAACAATGCCGATGAAAGACGACCACTTTTCGTACCCGGCGCCGGGCTGTGCGCCGTCCTCAGAGGCAAAGAGGCTCAGTGAGGCTGTCGGGTGGGCATTGACCGTGAAAGTTGCAGCGGGTATGTGCATTGGGAAGGGCGGTATCGGTCGGTTCGATCAGAACGATTTATCTCAAGACGAGTCTGGGATCGGCCGGAAAAATAACGCAGATCCTGTCGGAGGTTGAGAGAGCCAACAGGCAATTTGGGTGTGAGGGCGCTTCATCTAAGGACATCAGCGTGTCCATGCGAATGATATAAGGTGTCTCGGTATGTGAAATGTCAGAGCCATCACGGGCTCAGTTGTTTGGAAAACAAGGAAGAGGAGAATCAGGCCAATTCCAGTAGTCGTGAGTTGGAGCGCTGCGGGAATGGTCGCATGCAAGTTGTACGTCGTCGTGCAGCAAGCATCCAGGGCTTGGCAGCGCAAGTAGCTCGGTACGGAGGAGTACGGCGAGGATAACGAAAAGAGTTTCGAATAAGGCCTGCCCCTGCCGCCATTTTAGCTCTGCTGCGCTTAACTTGACTACAGATTGGGAAAGCGACTAAGCTGCTGATTGGGCATTGGCATTTGTAGCCAATTAGTCCCATTGCTCACTCTAGGCCTTCAAAGCGGCGCTGCCAAGACTATACTTGCGGTCTAGATCCTAGTTAGAGACCAACCAAGGTGTTAGTGAACGTCCCCCTTATGCAGCACAACGCGGGTTACAGGGAACTCCACTGGGCATTGTCGACTGTGTTTGAACAGGGTTCGGAATTGAGGTGCAATTTTTTGAAGGAAGTCGAGCTTCAGCTTGAAACGTCGACATGTTCGCCTTGGTGGATATTACGGGACAATACCCTACCTGGGCTAACCGCGCGGGTACTGGAACGCCTCGATGGTGCCTTGGTGTCCTTTTGTATACTCCCTCATTGACCTGACTGCAATGCGAATTTCAGCTTCAAGGAGGATATGTTCAGCGTGTCTGCTGATCCAACTCAAAAAAGTAATATCTCTGATTTCAGGTGATGTTGCCGCTGCTCAACATGATGTCGTCCAGCCTTCCATCATCACTGCCGAACCAGGGATGGATCGTCTTTATCCTTATTGCTCTTATGACTTCCGTTCACGCCACGGTTGTCTGTGATGATTGCCGTCCGCTTAGTCTCCAGGAAGCCCCAGGTATGTGCTATGGAGGGCCGTGACCTCAACCACCCCAATTCACAGAAGGAGACACTGAGGCGCTTTTTCTCAGGTGTTGGCTTGTCTCTAGCACCTAGTTATGGGTACGCAACGTCAGACAAAGGAAGTGCAAAGGAAAACGTTTCTGATTGGTTTCAGCTCTGCAAGCATTCAATTTGCCAATGGTACGATCTCCGACGTTGCTTTAATACATGGGTCCGAAGCATATATTCGAGCCATGAAGCTATGGGACCATCTTGATGTTGACCCCCCACTTCTGGACCTCGAGAAAGAGTAAGTACATGCATTCGTAGCTGGTCGATGTGTCTGCGCCAAATGCTAAAGTACCAAGTTCTGAGACGAGCATATCCCCTCCTTTCCTACAGCGACTACGATCGTGGTATCAGGCGCGGCTACAGAACGGCGCTGAAAACCCGCCTAAGGCCACCTACGAGGAACTCATCCCGATCGCGGAGATGATGAGTACACTTTTCTCCGAGGCGAATAAATCGGTGCCCCTGTCGAATAACTTGGTATTCCTGGCGATCCCAGACTTTGAAAATAGCACCAGTGATACTTTCACCCGGCCAATTCGCCAGCTTGTCCAATTAGCAGGACTTGACTGCCTCAGGTTCCAAAGACAGAGTCAGCTCTCACTTTTACACATCTATGACCTGGACAACTGTTTTGGAATCTGGCTGGACTTGGTAACCGAGGTTCCGGATGAAGAGTGCGAAAAATACAAAGGCAGACACATACAGTCGGTACTCTCCGTCCATCTCGATCGATCCTCTCTGAATTTGCGGTCAATGATACGCGATGACGGTATATTCCCTCAAACGCCGGGCTCTGTCAAAGTCCTCTGGGCGGATGAAGATGCCAAAGCGAATACCACAGATTGGGACTGGGTGGGACGTGCGTTTGAAGACTTCTTACACGACCACGATCTCATGTTTGATCTCCTGCTCCTCTCCGGCGTCCAGGTCACGGATAGCAATTTCCAACAAATCATCCGAGATAGGTTCAAAGACAACGAGAAAATCGTACCTCAGGACTACTTGCGAGGGTCGAAGGATCACTTGTTTGCTGCGACGAGGGGAGCTGCGGAGCTTGCTAGGGTCAGCTTGTGTACGGGTGACGATGCATGCATGCCTAACTCGTGGTGCCCGATCAGTGAGCATTGTAGGAAATGGGCATGGCATTCGGATGACGATGCTCCCAGGAAGACAGAACTCTAGGGGAATCTTCGCATGGCATGTGAGCTGTAGCACGTACCTACGAGGAGTCTGTGAGAGAATGATGATACGCCGTCCAATGACGATGCGTTCAGTAGTGATGTTGTCTGAAAACACTTTCCAAGGATATCATAATCCACCTTACTCCCTTCTCTTCCGTTCAAGGTTGTGTGGGGCAAGTTGCGAACTCCATTGGCGCTGAGAAAACCTGCGAAGAATTCATGTGAGGTGGGAGCAGACCTAGCACTGGCCGAACTGCTCACAGCGGCATTGTTTCAAAGGAATACAGTGCACAGCTTCCTGCCCAAATATGACATGCCAGAGATACTCGAAGACCCGCCCGCTCGTATCGTCATCTAGTGGCGTATCAAGGAGCCACTGACGGTAATGCTCGTAGTCTGCCTGGCTGCGTCTCAGAGCCTGCTTTTTCGATATGGCAAATTGCGAACAACAGGGTTGAGCGATAACCTTGGGTATGTCGGAATAGTTCCCCCCAAACATGTATGGCCACGCTTCCCTCATGGCGTGCTCTGCCGTGCGGCGCTCGTCTTGTCGGTCGACTTGTATTTCTGCTGGGCAGCCCGGGTCGGGGACGCAGCGCATGTTGGCATATCCATGCTCTTCGAGGTATGCAAGCCTCAGAGACCTGATAGAATTGATTTGGTTGTGATTTTTACTGTCCGTATGCCATGCTGCAGGCCAGCCTTGCAGGTGTGGATGAACGAAGACCATGTAGGATGGCAGAACGTCGTAGTGATCGATTATGAATGTGAGGTACGCCATAGCCTCTCTGCCTTTGTTGAGGGGTGGATGAAGCATTCCTCCATCTGGTTCATCCATGTGGTATATCGCCTGTTTCCAACTGAGCGGGTATCTTCGTCAGTACCCACACAGTCAGTCATAGAGGGGATCCCGCGTGACATACTCTTGCAGATTGTCAAAGACCCAGCTCACATCTTCTCCGTGAGTCTTTGCCAGAATCACCGCTTTGTCCTCTGCCTCGGGTCCCGAGTAGATCCATGCTTTGGAACCATTGGGCTTCTTGAGGCCGTTAACTCTGTTAGATTCAATACGAGGACTCGATTTGTCGGACTGGTAACCCAGTCGAAATCTGACGGTCCCGCCAGTCTTCAACTTCCAGAGCAGATCTAGAGTCAGGAGGACGAGGATCGCGACCACGGATGCCAGGCGATACTGGAGCTTCGACAACAACATTGGGACATGGCAGCTCGCTTCTTGATAGCTTCGACACTGCAGCCATGCGATATCCTGAGGACTCTCAAGAAGAACCGTGAAGGCACACAGGTCGCATCCAGCATACTATGAATAATAGCGCGCACATGTTGTTGTGACTGCGACTTTACAATTGACTCGCGCATTGGTCGATCTTGTTTTGTTGTTTTTTTTTGGTATGAGCAGCGACTAAGACCCACCAGCATGGCTAACATTCGATAGTACCGAGTCCTCTGGAGGGTTTTAGAGACGCGGTTCAGCTGGCGAGATCATGAGTAGTCAATGGGCGACGGTGGATACATTGGGATAGACGCGTAGAACGTTCGAAGAGAGCATCGTCTTAGGCTCTTGAGCTTGACAACGGTTTTATTGCTTGACAAAACACGTAACTTTGGTGGTACCAAAGACATCTCCACCAATATCAGGATCGCCCTCTTCGATGGTGTTTGTTGAAAATATTGTGGGCGTGACGAACAATTTCCTTTCGCTCTCGCATTTGTACCAGGCGGTCACTAGCGCTTCAAGTTCCAAAATAGTGGCCAAAAACACCCAATTTGGCAAACTGTATACTCGAAATTATCATTACAAGAGTTGCCTTTGCATACTCGTACGGCAGTGTGCCATCTTCAAGTCTCTGCTACAGCGCGCGTCCGTCGACAGATCTGACACCGAGGACTATCGTAAACATTGACCATCGAGGATATGAAGGATTGCGCACTGAACGCTGGACTGCGTCAGGCCGCAGTATCCGAGATCTCATTACAATTCAACGCAGGTTGCAGGGAAATTTCCCGTCGAGTTTGACGGACAGTGCCGCCGCTTTTGGAGGGCTTCTCCAACCTCTCCAACCTCCGGCTTTTATACATCTGAACCAGAACATCCTCTATTGATATTAATGTGGCGCCGTGATGATGCCTTGTGCCATCACTTTCCCCCTCTACGCTTGCCTCTTCATTGCACTACTGACTCTGATTTGGATAGGTGACGCTTAACTCGAGTTATCGGGGGACTTGGGCTGATCACGTTATAGCCTTCTACGACCCAGTTTACTTCTGGTGAATTCGTAAGCTATATCCCGATATGGTACCTTGGGGACGCAGCTGCATTGCTGTGCGGCCTGGCCCCTGCCGTGAAGCAATTGCAAGAAGATCTTCTCGGTTAATGCAGAAGGGGAACGAGCTCTGAAGCTCGATGGAGTCCGACTAAAGCTTGGAGGAGCGAATTCGTGAACGTGTCGATGTACGTGATTGGAACATATGAGTGGCTAGGCGTAGGCTTTTTTACTGGTGTGTGCCTGGACTATTATCAGGTGGCTCGCTTTGTCATAGTTAGTCGGAATGGGCGAAGGAAGAGGCCGCAATGGCCGCCGCTATCAAAGCTGAGGACGGTTCCAAATCATGATTGTTTCAAATAGGCTGGAATTGACAGGGTGAAGGACCGTAAAATGCGCCATGTGGTTACCAGGTAGAGTAAGGATTGTTTTTGAAGGAGGATGGGGTGGAAGACGGGATTCTTATAGAAGTCAAAAGCGGCGGCGGGCCCAGCCTGCGACCATACTCCAAAGGGCCGGGCCGCCTAAACCGCAGGCGGATTTACCTTACTTGTACCAAGTACACAAGCAATTGATGCAACGGAGGGGTCCGTCCTACATCCACATGTCTGTTTCACATTGTTTTTGAGTAACATTCCTGACTGTGCCCACATTGTACAGTACCTGGGATCAGCGTGCTTTCCCTCATCATGGACGCCACGCTTTGTCAGTGCAGTCTCTCCCTCTGCGAAGAATCTATCCAAGCCCTTCGCGGAAAGATATGTCCAGATTATACTCAAGATGCTTATTACAGACCTTGATTGTGGGCTCTATTGTCACTGCAATCTTCCTATTGTACGGACTACGAGCCTCTCGTGCCTCTTCGTTATTTGCGATTCCAATAGTCAAAAGTAGCTTCGACTGGTCCAACTACAGTTACCGGCATTCCGTCAAATCCTTTGCTCCTCTTCCGACAGGAAAGCCCCAAACATTTCCTCGGGTCCAACACAAGTTTCGGCGGGAATCCGTATCTGCGGCGATACGGAGACGGTCACGGCAGCAGGCGATATTGAAAACCTTTAAGAAATGTTGGCGGAGCTACAAAACTCATGCATGGCTGAAAGATGAGTTACAACCAATCTCGGCAAAGAGTAAGGATACACTTGGTGGATGGGCAGCCACCATGGTCGACTCTCTCGATACTCTCTGGATCATGGGCCTCAAGCAGGAATTTCGTGAAGCTGTAGAGGCGGCTGCAGGCATTGACTGGGCGGCAACGTCGGATACCTCATGCAATATGTTTGAGATCAATATCAGACAGTTGGGAGGTCTACTCGCAGCATTCGACCTGAGCCAGGAGCCGGCTCTGTTGGCAAAAGCTGTCGAGCTTGGGGACATGCTGTACGCGGGATTCGATACCCCGAACCATATGCCCCCTTTCTGGCTGGACTTTGAGAAGGCAAAGACAGGCCAACTAGTGGCAGATCAACAGCAAAGTTCAGCCGCATTAGGCTCGTTTGCCCTTGAGTTCACTCGCCTATCTCAAATTACAGGAGATCCGAAGTATTATGATGCTATCAGACGGGTGACTTTGACGTTTATCGAACATCAATCCTCGACTCAGCTGCCGGGTATGTGGCCAACCTTCGTTAATGCCCACGACCAGAGCTTTGTCGGGGATATGTTCACATTAGGAGCCCAAGCAGATTCCCTCTACGAGTATTTGCTTAAGCTCCATTACCTCTTGGGTGGCTTAGAGCCAGCTTACGAGAAAGCTTACAGGGAATCTATGGCCACAGCGATCAAGCATTTGTTGTTTAGGCCAATGCTTCCTAATAATACAGATATACTCGTCGCCGGCTCCGCAATTATCATTGCTGGGACTACCACACTTAACCCGGAAGGTCAACACCTAAGCTGCTATACTGGTGGAATGTTCGTCCTAGGGGGAAAGCTCCTTTCGCTTCCAGAGCATGTCGACATTGGTGCAAAACTAACACAGGGTTGTATCTACGCTTACAATGCATTTCCAACTGGTATCATGCCCGAGACCTTCCGGATGCGGCCCTGTCAATCGCTCCAAGAGTGCGCGTGGGACGAGACAATGTCTTCTAGGTCACTACCAGAAGGGTTTGTTTCGGTCTCCGATCGATCCTACTCGCTTCGTCCAGAGGCTCTTGAAAGTGTGTTCATACTCTACCGGACAACCGGGGATCCGAAATTACTAGACGCCGCGTGGACTATGTTCGAATCTATACAAGCTGCCACGGAGACCGAACACGCCAACGCTGCCATCATCGATGTGACTGTGGCTGGTAAGCCATTGAAGAAGGATTCAATGGAGGTAAGAGCTGTCCAAAACTTCCGGGGCTGCAAACCTGTGCTGAGAATTCCATAGAGCTTTTGGCTGGCAGAAACGCTCAAGTATCTCTACCTCATTTTCTCGCCGCCTGATCTTGTCAGCCTGGATGAATACGTCCTGAATACCGAGGCACATCCCTTGAAACGTCCGACGTGAACTTGTCGCTGGTGATCGGAAAACTCGAGGTTTCAATTTCGTGAGAGCCTCTCCAGCGTTACAACCACTGAACGCGAACATCGCGCCTGCGGCCACTTTATTTTACGTGACACGCGACAAGGCTGGAGCCAAGACGACCCAGTTTTTAAGCGAGTCAACACCACACGTCCAAATTAGAGCGGCACCATGATTATCCCAATATGGATGACTTTGGCAGCATACATCCCAATATAAGAGAAACGCTTGCCTAGTATCCAGTATCTAACATTCTATAAACTCCCTGCCTGCTCACCATGTTTCACGCTTCTCTGCGCACTTTTCTTCTCAACTGTTAGAATGAGAACACTGGAATTGCGCGTGAGGACCCAGATTCAATCGCCAGGGCTTATGAGACGTGGATATCTGGAGTCAGCCTGGTGGGGAATGGGTATATGGATATTCATTCACATCAGATACAGCGCCAGGTAAATCTCTGCAGACGTCGCTGGCGTACTTGTCGAAGGGACAATCCTTATTTTCTTGTGAGCCTTTGTCCCGGCGCACGTGATATCATGCCGCTCACTGGCGTTGTCTTATGTGCCTCAGGACCCAGGGTCAAACCTCAAGATTGACAGTCTGAATAGCTCTCACACATTGGCTACGGCATGCTCGTACTCTAGAGAAGACGATAGCAGATATATACCAGTCTATCAGGAAGGACGTACGAGTACACTACTGGGAGAGGAGCATGGAATACTCGTTTACAAATCTCGGCGAAAGTATCTTCCGCCCCGTCACCTTCGGATGAACCGTTCCGAGCTTCCTTCCGCTTGTCAGGATCAGGCCCAGAACTGAGGCTTTGGCAGCCTTTCAATTTTGCCTGGTCCATTCAGTAACAAATATTGACGCGCCACAGGGCCACTACACCAGCACGTCGTGAACATTCGCAGACCAAGTTTGCTGGTCATATTCTCCCTTGTCCGATTTTCCCGTACTTGCCTTCCCTCGACCAGAGTTGTTTTGCTGTCATGGATCGAAGCCTAGACGAAACCATTGCGGAACGCCAGGTCCGTCCCTGCAACTGACCCTACCGCTAGCTTCTGATGCTGATGATCTCCCAGAGAGCAGACACACGCTCTCGCAGAGCGCCTCCACCGCAGCAGCAGCGCCGTAGAGAATACAACTACCCTCGCGATGGCGTCAGAAAGGTGGGCGACACAGTCTCTCGTTTGCTTGCCCGCGTCAGATCTGACTCTCGTGGTGTTTAGGTCCGAACATCCTCTCCTCTCCTCTAGTACCCGCCTGTCCCGCCAGTACGATTGATCGCCGCATCATCTCGACTTACCTCACATGTGTTGCTCCGACAATTCGACGCGCCTCAGGCCAGGGACAGTTTGACAGACGAGCTAACCTAGATCTTCCTCCCCCACAGCCTGCTAGGGATGATCGCACGAACTTGGACAAGTAAGGGACCACAAACACACACGCATATGCGCAGTGAAAAGTCAGGGGGCTAAACCGTCTGCAGTGATTGGGTTCACGACCGATACGATGACGAACCAGACAGTATGGAGCTGCACAAACACAATAGACAATGGCGAGAGTGACTGATGGTGGGAGCAGGCCGCCGCTACGATCGACCAAGGGAAAGCAATCACCGTCGCGATGAAGATCGCTCGGCAGAACGCGACAGGTAAGACTCGGTTGTCGTGAATGATTAGACCAGGGCTGATTGTTCAGAAAACCCCCTCCAGCCAAACTCAGAGTCGACAATCTACATTATGACCTGACAGAAGATGATATTTGGGTATGTCGTTTCACGTTCCCGCCGGACTTCTGGTCCTGACATGGTATAGGATCTTTTCCAACGCATTGCTCCGGTGAAGGAAGCTCGATTACGCTATGACCGCGCTGGCCGTTCTGAAGGGGTCGCCTTTGTCACCTATGAGCATGTCGCCGATGCAAGAGCTGCGATCCGCGAATTCGACGGTGCCAACGCCAAAGGACAGCCAATCCATCTCACACTCCTCCCACTCCCGAGACGGGACAACCCGTTTGATCGCGTAGAGAACCCCAAGAGCCTGTTCGACAGAATTGAGGCACCGGCTAGCCGCAGTCGACGACGAAGTGAAAGTCCGATGGAAGAACTTGACGAAGAGCGAAGAAACCGCCGCGCGCCCCGACGGGGTGGCCCGAGAGACCGAAGGAGTGACACCACCAAACCTCCTCCAGAGAACATTGATCGCTACATCCCAGGTCAGCGCGACAGCCGAAGTTCAAGTCACCGCGGAGGACGGAGACCGGGTGAACGGAGGGAGCGCGCCGGCCGAGATGGAGAGGGCCATAAATTGGTGAACGGCAGGCCTCGAAAGACCGCGGAAGAACTCGATGCAGAGATGGACGACTATTGGGGACACGGCAACACGCACGAGGGCACTTCGGCTAACAGTGCCCCTGGGGCGCAAGAAGCTCAACCCGTTGCTGGGGATGACATCGACATGATTGAGTAAAGGATGACTGACTGTCAAGGACCCCCAAAATAGGCAATTCTGTAAAAGTAGTTCCTCCGCGCAGAGGAACCGGGAGTGGAGGATGGGGGAAAACCCCTGGACCTTCAGACGGCCGCAGGAAAAGGCATGAAAAGGAATAGGCAAATCCCAGACAAGATTGAAATCCAGACTCTGATTCTTTGTGTGAAAGCTAAAAAAATGTATTGGATTTGAACAAGAGAGCAGAAATTCCACTCGTCTAACTTAACCCAGCTTGGCCCGCACAAAGTCTTCGACAGCCTTCAGGCCTTCTTCGGCGCCACTCCCCTTGACGCTCTTGGGGAACATGATGTAGCCGTGGGGACCCCCCGGCACGATTTTAACCACGGACTCCGCCCCGGCCATCAGCCACTTCATGCTCATGAACATTGTGTCGTCCAGGAGACAGTCCTCCGTGCCGCAGGTGAAGAGGGCAGGGGGCAATTTTCCCCTCAGCGGCTCCAAGTCGGCGAACAGCGGGGATATGGACGGGTGTCTCTTCTCGTCGTGGCTCATGCCGGGGAGAAAGGCGTCGATATAGTGGTCCATCAGGTCCCGATCCAGGATCAATATCTGCGGGCGTTTAAAGTTGTATACATGCGGGGTCCATATCATCGAGTAACACCCAAAGTGTAGCAGGAGGCCCTTGAAGCGGAAGTCCGAGTACTTGGGGTCCTGGTGTTGCAGGAGGTGAAGAGTGATGAGCATGCTTAAATGTCCACCAGCGGACTCTCCGCCCACAAACCCCAACGGGGCTCCAAGCTGAGCCTCGGCGTTGTCAACCAACCATTCCGCGGCGTCGAAACAGTCGTGAGGGCCTGCAGGATACGGGTCCTCAGGCGCGAGGCGGTAGCCGACCGATATACACAACATGCCCGTGGTGTCTGCGATCTCCTGCAAGGTGGGATCTTGCGACTTTTCGTCCTGAAGAACCCAGCCACCGCCGTGGATGTGAAGAAATACTGATTTGACGGGGTTTCCGTTCTGAGGGCGCAGGATTCGACAGGGGATGGTGCGGCCAACATCCCGGCTTGGAATGGAAAACTCCTGCGCAGAATCGAGATAGACCGCTTTAGGAAGGGGTGTCTCTCCGGCGGCGCGCATTTCGCGATAGCGTTTGGCGCCGACCTGTTTTGCAGAAAGAGACGGTTGTGGTTGGTACAGATATTGGTCCAGAACCGGAGTCTCTATAGGGAGAAAACAGAGGCAGGGTGTGCGTTATGCCCTATCCATGAAACTCACCTCGTACCATTTGGGCCCGTGTGCCATGATATCCATCAGTCCCTGATTGAACGCTTTGGTCTCTTCTGAGATGGCGGCTGGGTGGAACTTGCTGGTCTCGAGGGTGACAGCATTATGGGCATCCATACTTGGGACTTGCTATGGTATCGTTGGGCAATAGGGTCAATATTCGAGGAGTCGAGGGGTTCATCAATCGCAAACACAGGACGTTAGTGTTGGTAAAGGACTTCTTTGACCTCCCACCCTCAAGACTGTGACATTGTTCTGAGTGGACTTCTCCACTTGGAGGTTGATCAACGTAGGAGCCGAGGACATCTCCATACGAATCGGATCATGAGTGCTGTATCTCCGACTGTCAGCATTGTGTGTTCCCTGTGGGGGGATCGAACGTCTTTAGGTATCCCTTTTCTGCAATGCGTGGGCGGTAATGCAAGATTGCGCCCTTCAAGGGACAGAGAGTACAAGAGGCAGTGCGTGTGAAATAAGGGGCACGTGCAAACAGGCAATATGCATATAGCGCGTTTATGCTTCTCCGTGGATAACTACGTCGGAGCATATAATTCACTAACGCAGTCATCTTCGCCCTCCGAATTTTAGTCTGTCATTGCTCTATATCAAGACAGCATCATCCCCTATCCAACAACTGTCCTTTAAAGTCTCGCCATGGAGGAGGATGCATTCAAAGACTATCTGCCTGCCTCCTTCGGAACCACTGGGGGTGAATTCGACGTTGAATCCCAGATGGAGACAGTGAGGAGGAAATTAGCCGGTCTGCCTGAGCCCAAGGGCAAGGATTCGGCCAGTTCGAAAGGTGACAGTGACTCGGACGACGACTCCGATGACGACTCGGAAGATGAAGACGAATTTCCTGTTTCTCATGAGATCGTCTTCAAAACCCACGATCGTGCCGTCACCACAATCTCGTTGGACTCGTCTGGTTCGCGGATGATCACCGGCTCGACAGACTGCACAGTCAAACTATATGACTTTGCTGCCATGGCGCCCAACACTCTACGAGCTTTCAAGTCCGTGGACCCTACATTCACAAAGGGCTCGGCATCGTCGGAGACTCATCCGGTGCATACCGCCAAATTCAACCCAAATTCACCAAGTCAGGTTCTCGTCGTCTCGGCCACTTCCCAAGCCAGGATATTATCCCGCGATGGCGAAACACAGACCGAGTTCGTCAAGGGCGACATGTACCTCCGTGACATGAACATGACCAAAGGCCACATCAGTGAAATCACCTGTGGGACGTGGCATCCATATGCCTATGATCTCTGCGTCACTGCCGGAACTGATAGCACCCTGCGCATTTGGGACGTGAATGTTCGGAATAAACAGAAAGAGGTCATCGTCCACAAATCGAAGCTTGCGGGCTCAGCTGGACGAAGTCGAATGACCGCTGTCGCCTGGGGCAGTCAGGTTGAAGGCGGGAATAGTCTTCTTGTCGCTGCCGCGCTGGATGGCTCTCTGCTCATGTGGGGAGGGGACGGACCTCACCACAGACCTAGTGGCGAGATCACGCAAGCTCATACGAGCGACTCTTGGACAAGCGGCATAGACATCAGTGCCGATGGACGACTGGTCGTCACGAGGGGAGGCGATGACACGATCAAGCTATGGGACACCCGCAAATTCAAACAACCCGTCAATACCGCAACTCACACCTCGACATCAAGCCAATACCCAACTTCGAACATCTTATTCGCTCCAAATGCATCCTCTATTGTCACGGGTTCCGAGACTGGGGACCTTTACATTCTCAACCCAGCAACATTGAAGCCCGAGCTCGTTACTCCCGTCACCCCCGGGTCACCTTTGGTCAGCGTCCTCTGGCATGACAAATTGAACCAAATAATCACCGGCAGTGCCAACGGCGAAACCCACGTTCTTTTCAATCCTAAAATTTCCACAAAAGGCGCGGTAATGGTAATGTCCAAGCCACCTAAGCGTCGCCACATAGACGATGACCCAACCCTCACCACGGACATGTCCCAAGGGGTGTCGAGCGACGCGATCATCAACCCAGGAACCGCCAGTGAGGCCATTCAGGGCAGCACATTTGCCTCGAGACACCCAACCATCGGGCTCACGGCGTCAGGAAAATCGCGCGATCCGAGGAGACCGCACATTCCAGCCACCACACCGTTTGGCAAGAGCCAGCCCGATGAGCGCCACATCAAGGAACGGATCCCGCTCAGCACGATGAGAGAAGAGGATCCGCGAGAAGCCCTTCTGAAATATGCCGACAAGGCAGAGAAGGATCCTATGTTTACGAAGGCGTGGAAAACCACACAGCCCAAAACCATTTATGCAGAATTAAGCGACGACGAGGAAGGAGATGCTGGACCACAAAAGAAGAAGCAGAGAACGTAACTCTTCAGGTTTGACTCTTTGCGGGGACACTCACGAGAAAATGTGAGACCGTCTTGCCGCTTGGGAGAATAAGACAACTTTTTGAGGATATCAAGAGGATAAAACTCCATTCGAAGTATGAAGAGAAACCGTCGATCCCAATTTACAAAGGCCTGACATAAAAGCGTATACTGTACAGGCGGAGTCGCTGAGGGCCAAATCGAACTTCTTCTCCTCCATCTGGTGGACATGCAAAACTCTTCAAACTTCCTTCGCCGGCTTGCCGGTAATGGCTTCCATAATTCCCTTGCGGGATGGATGAACAAGCCGCTTGATACCCATCCAAGGAGTATTCATCGGGGACTCGCCTGTGTAAATCAGAGTGTCGTACAAGAAGCCGCCAAAGGTGCATCCGATGAAGGGGCAGATCATCGGAACCTGGGAATTTCAATGTCAGCAACGTATGCAAATGGCGAGAAAACAAGGACCACGCACCCAGAAATAGTATCCTCCGGCGCTCCACACTTCATGGCCATAGCCCACGAAATAGGTGAATAGCCTGGGACCAAAATCTCGAGCCAGGTTAATGGCATAGCCGGTCTCCCAGCCGAGGGTTGCTCCAATGCCAAAGATCAAGAAGAACAATCCGAGAGGAACCATTACACCCGCTCCCAGGTTCGCATCGTCCTTCAAGGCAAAGATGACAAACACCAGCACGGAGCTCGAGATGATCTCGGAAAACACTTGCCCCGTCTTTGTCAGGAACGGTTGCGGGTAGGTGCAGAAGACGCCCGCCGTGGCATGGTCCGAGAAGCCGGGGACGGTGCGGATCGACGAGCCCCCTTCATACGCGTCGATCGCCGACTTGTAGTTGCCGTAGATGACGGCCGCGCCGCAGAAGCAGCCCAGCACCTGAGCGGCCGCGTAAATCGGGAACTTGTACCACGGAAACTTGCGATACAGGCAGTTCACAAATGTGATGGCCGGGTTCAAATGGCCTCCTGCGCAACCTGCGACGTAGACACCCAGCATGACACCGATGCCCCACCTGTTGGACAGAGAAATCAGCAAATTGGCCAGGTGTTTTGTGAGCACGGAACGCATTTCACGATTCACAGGCCTTACATGCATTGAAGAAGGGGGGCTGGGACCTTGGAGAATTGGCAGTGATGGACTGGGAGACGAGAGAGAAGCAAGACACGTACCCCCAGGATATGGACTGATATTCACCCTTGTTTTGACTGCTCGGGGGCAGATTGGGATTCGCACTCAGTGTCACCTGCGCCACGCTGCCGTCGCCAAACAGGATCATGATGAATGTGCCCATGAACTCGGCGAACGGGTCTCTCAGATGGTGCCTGATGCGACTCCACAGCAGGTTC